TCAGCTCTCTTGCCTGTGCGTGGTGCATTGTGTGCCTAGAGCACTGTTTTGAATATTAGAGAAGATGCAGATGTGCTCTGTTTAACCAAAAACTGACATTAGAAACAGGAGTTTGAGAGATGGGAGATTCCTCTAGGAGACCTTTTCAACAGTGGGATTCTTTTAAATCAGGGGTGGGGAACGTCCAGCCAACAGGCTGTATAAGGCCCACAAAGTCATTTGGTCTGACCCTGCCAAGGCATTAGGGGTGAGTTAATTAAATGTTTGACCAAATACAGCAGCTAACTTTTAAGCTGATACTTTTGTATGGCCCGTGAATGATGTTATAAATAGCCAAATGGCCCTTGGCAGAAAAAAGGTTCCCCACCCCTGCTTTAAAATGTATCACCACTGTATCCTTCCAAATGTTATTTGGCTTAGGAGATTTTAGTTTTCTATGCGATATTAAAGCCATCCTTTAGCCTTTTATATCAGTTGTAAAATTTAGGGCAAAGTTACTTAATCTCTGTGGGCCTCGGTTACCTCATCTGTAAAAGGAGGATCATATAGTACCAGTAACTGAGAGACCGCATATGAGAGAGCCCACCGCAGCTGCTGGTGGCCTGGCTGGGCCTGCAGGGCCTGAGCGGAGAAGGCTGCGCTGGAACGAAGACCCCAGTGCGTGAAAGGCCAGGCTCTGAGCAAGGGGCTGGCCCCGCAAAGCCTGCTTTCCAGCAATGCCGTCATCCCCAGAAGGCATGCTTGGAACATAATGGCTCTCGCTACAAATTCTATTAACTCTAATAGTTGTTCTGTGGTGAATGGATAATGCGTTTAGCAGAAATAGACCCAATCAATTTATATGAAACACATAAAACTTTCTCATTGGAATTGGCATCTGTTCTTGAATCACAGGAGCGTATGTGGGACCGGACAGCCTGTCACCCTCACTTCTGGGCACATTCACCGTGTCCTGGGTTAATTAGAGAGCTGGGCCAGGTAACACTCGGGCTCCCTTACGCCGTACCCTTCACCCTCAGACCACGGGGCTGGGGACGGGGAAGGACCTGGAGACTGTCTACTTCAAACCTTGACTTTAAAAAATACCAGTTTTCCCGCCCTGGTCCATGTTCACGTTGGCCCCTCTTACATGAGCTCTGTTATCTCTGTTATCTGGTGACATGTCCAGGCACCAGATGAGGGATGCCCAGGATCACAGCTGGCTAGTGCAGGTCCCCCCCAGGCCAGGCCCAGGGGTTCTGACTCCCGGTCCAGTGCTCTTTTTATGATCCCACTCAGAAAACGGTAAACCAACTGTCACCAACCAACTCGGAGGCAAGACTGTGGTTTGAGCCAGGACTCCATGAATTGTGGTGACTTGCGGGTTGGGCCCAAGGTTCAGGCCGGTTCTCAATTAGACTGAGCAGATCCCTTCCCACTCTCCCTACACAGCCCGAGGAGAGAGGGGTAAGGAAGCGGAGGCAGGTCACGGGACAGGGGTCCCGCCTGTCCTTACCTGGGCTTTCAGAGAGAGACAGGATGGCGAGCCTGCTCCCACCGCCTCACCACTAATGCTCGTTAGAGAGAGAGGGAGAGCGCCCGGAGCTCAGTGATTGCATTATCCCAACCATTTGGTTAGTGTAATTGTATGTGCAAAGCTGACAAATGTAATTTTCTCAGACTTAATACTTGTCCCATTTTCTCTGTTCTTTTCTGATTAGTTAGTGACTCAGGCTTCCGAGAATGCTTCGTGAGGCACCTGGCCGGGCTTTTCCCTGCCAGGCCCTCATTGGAGGGGAGAGCTGGCTCAGGGAGGGCGGGGGGAGGAGACGAGGTGTATTTAGGGAGATTTGGAAGCTCTGTGAGTGAGTCTCCCGAAACTGCCTCGGTGTCTCCAGGTGGTGCCCTAGCCAGCCGCCCGCTCCAGCCCAGCAGAAACAGACAGCGCTGAACTTTGGCAGGAAAATCTTATCTTGTCTCCTCTGACAATTGATTTGTTTACTGATCATGCAGGGGCTCTCAACTGGGACGCACTACCCCTCTTTTCATTTTTGGTGTTGATCTGTGGGTTGGAGACTTGGATACTCAGAAGTAGCTCAGCTGGTTGAAAAAAAATGTAGATTTCAGGTCCCCTTCCTTACCAGCTGTGGGCCACGTACATTCTTCCGGATCATCTTCCTCCTCCCTACGGTGGGAACAGCAGTAGCTGTCCCTGGGCAGTGAGGATGGGAGGAGCTGACGTGTGGAACACCCTAGCCAGGGTCAGGTGTGCTCATGGATTACTCCTTTCCTTCCCTTGCCCCCGGGGCCCCGGCCCTCCCGTCCTCTCTAGGGGGCCTCCCAGGTAGGAGCTCTAAGTTCGGGTTAAGTTGCAGGCTGTGATCTCCCCGTTCCCAGGCCACTTGGCTCCCTTGGGCCAGAAGCTCCACAGCAATGAGTACGTGGCCCACAGCTGGTAAGGAAGGGGACCTGAAATCTACATTTTTTTTTTTTGCCCCTGTTGCGCTGGTCGCATGGAAGGTGGGTGTCAGGCCAGTGTTTGCCTGGTGATTATTTGAGTGGGTGTGGCCCTGACCTAGGCCTCTCCATGAGCCCATGGACCCCTCCTCCTGCAGGACCCTCCTTCTTCAGGTCCCTTCTCCTCCAGGACCCTCCTCCTCTAGGACCCTCTCCTCCAGGACCCTCCTCTGCAGCACTCTCTCGCCATAGGCATGTAACTGGACTGCATCATTGTCTACCTGTTCTCTCCTTTTCTAATCTGTGAGTTCTCTGAGCTCCTGGCTTGGATCTGGTCCTGCTCAGCATTTCTGAGCACTGGCCTGCCCTCAGAGGAGTCTGCTGGAACTGTGGGCTCAACATGGATCCAGGGGCAGCCTCCTCTCCCTGACCATGAGCCTGAGTCCTGGCCAGTGCTGATGCAGAGGGCCTGGTGGACCGTATCTTGTGGGTGGTGGGGAAAGGAGGCTCTGCTCCCCTCCCCCTATAAATCCTCTTGATGAAGACAGAGGCACCCCCACCACACACCGCTAGGGTCCACAGCAAGGTGGGACTGGAAGTCTGTCAGGCTGGGGGAGAGATGCCTCCCGCTACTGAAACACAGCAGGGGAAGGGGAGTTGGGAGCCTGCCTCGGCTTCTCCCTCACCTGAGCTGCTCCCTGATGTGGCAGTGGATCCTGGGGGAAGCACTAGCTCTTTATTGGGTTCTCTAAAGCCTACTGAGGAGCCTACTGAGGCTCAGTGTCCTCTTCCCTTTGAGTTGGGGTTGCTTCAGAAGGGGGTCTGAAGACCCAATGCTGACCCACAGCCATCTGCCCATCACCCTGCTCTGAGGCTGGGCCGCTCAGTAGAGGAAGCTGTGTTCCAGCCATTGTCATCTCCAGCCTCTCAGGCAGCCACTCACTTCTAATTTTATCTGGAGGTGGTAGGGGAACACCAACGCTTTTGAGCCGCTGTGTGATTTCATTAGTCTGAGTGGCCACTGGCCAGGCCCTTATCGATCAGCCCTGTAGGGACAGTGGGAGTTTATATGGCAATAAACCCGTCAGGCTGGGTGGATGGCAGGTTTCTGAATGCTGGCTGCAGGGGAGCCAGCAGCTGACATCTGAGAACCGAGCTCAACATTAAGTGCCCACCAGTCGATCAATAAGTGTTTCCGGAACTCCCGCCATGTAACCAGTGCTGGTGGTTAGGCAGGCGGTGGCTTGCCATGATGTTTGCTTAGTATGTCCTGAATCTATCATAGGAGCCATGGTTGACCAAGGGCCGGGAAGTCAGGGAGGTACTTCCTCCCTTCTGGGATGAGGTGCGGGTAAGACCGCTCAACAATGAAAGCAGGTCCTCCCTCGTGTTAGACGGTTTCATGAGCCATGAACCACGAGGCAGGGGTGGGAAACAGAGACTGCAGTGTGGAAAACTGGAAAGGTATTTTGAGGTTCCAGTTAAAGGAGAAGAGAGGAAGGGGGAGGTAATGGGAAAAACCATGAACTCTTTCCCTGGTCTGGAGCTGCGAGGTCAGGCAGGAGCGAGGACGGGATAGTTAGTCCTGGGGTAGCTATTTGGAGGAAAGGAAGAATGTCTTCAAACACAAAGCAAAGCTAATACTTACTTAATATGTTGAGAGTCAATGGATTCAATGTAATTTGCAGCAAATAAGGATTTCACATTTATAAGTAGAAATGAGAGATTTATCATTTATCTATCGGTATTACCTTTTACAGGAGGAAGAGCATGGTGAATGGTGTGCTGCGCTCCTGCATCTCCAGGTCACTCATGTTGGAAGAGGCCTCAGTGCCCAGGCCCATCGCCCACCTGGGGAACCCTGACCTGTGGGTGTGGCCCGGAGGCCTTCATCCGCTTCCCTGGGGCTGGCTCACGGAGCTAATAACTGCTGAGGAACATCATGCTGGGGCTTGAGACCAATCCCAAATGATGCCCTGTACAAAGAGTAGCTGAGAAGTCACTGCCATGGTTTAGGGCATGAGGCTGAAGAGGCCTGTGTTGGAAGCGGCAGAGCCCCCTCGAGCGGTCCTTCATCCCGGGACTGCTGAATCAAGCAATGTTGAGGGGAGCCAAGCTCTGGGGAAATGTGTTGGACCTGACGCTCTGGGGGCTTTTACCCATGATGGGCTAGCCTGCCTTCCTGCAACAGATAACCTTGGGCTTGGGCCCAACCCTCTTTATGTGGAGGAAAGATCTGAGGGAAGGTTTGCTTTGTGCAGTGAATGGAGACTGGTGTCAAGGGGCTGAGGTGAGGAGAGGTCACCAGCCTGGTTCTCTGCTTGTGCCAGGGCCTGGGTGTTCCCCGTGCATGGAGGAGTGCTCCTTTGCACACCTTTCAGAAGCTCTGTAGCAAGAGAACCAGCTCCTTCTTGGAGCCCCAAAGCCAAAGTGCAAGCAATGTTCCTTTCAAAGGCTGACATCTTATTCTTTAAACTTAGCTCCCTATCCCGATCATAGCACCCATCTTTCTGCCTTTTGCAACAAATAATTACTTTGCTCAAATTTGTAAGTTGCACCCTTACCTGTAGGGTCAAAGATGGGGGTCTCTCTTGGTGTGTTTTCCCAGAGTTTCATCTCCTTGTTGGGGTTTCTCTCAAACAGATTTCTTGACTTGGGTGCTGTATTCTGCAGCATCTTGTCCTCCCCACTGACTGGAATAGAGAAGACCCCATTGGTTGAGTTAAGTGAGGCTCTGCTGTAAGGAGGTGAGCATGCCCCAGGGAAGGTGGGAGAAAGTGGCTCAGGTGAAGGAGGGACAGGGAGCCCGGGTAGTCGGGGTGGGAACAAGTGCCGGGGCGGGGTGGACTCACTGGTGAGGTAGCAGTCCAGGCTGATGGAGATATTGTCAAAAGCCACGGTGGCTCTGGATCCTCGTTCCCACCATGCGGCAATCTGCAGCCAGAACCTGTACATGTGTTAAGAGGAGTGTGTGTGAGGAACAGCCTGGATTGGCCACATCTTAGGACTCAGTGTCCAGCAAACGGGTGCCGAGACCCTGCTCATGATCAGGGTTCATCGGCCTTCCCTGTCTCAGAGCGGCTGTACGAGGCAGCAGTCAACATCTCCCCCTACTTCTCCAGCACAATGCACTGCCCTCTCCGAGCGACTGTTCCACATGTTAATCCAATTTGGAGTTTGGGGCTCGGGTCTAGAACTCCTGGAGCCTCTGGGTGTGCAGGGTGGGTGGACATGGGTAGGCCTGATGTTCCCAGTAGAGTTGAAGTCATTGTGAAAATACTGAAATGCTTCTGTACCAACTGAGAAAGAGCCACTGTTCCCTGACAGTCCCCTACCTGTTGCTGCAGGCCGCCTGGCTCCTTCCCTGGTGCCCCCTGGATTTCACACAGCGGGGGTCTCAAGGATTTGGTGTTCAGCATCAGTTCCCACTGGGGTTGGTCTGTATAGTGTCCAACTGGTTGTTAAATATTAAATGATTTGATTCTGAGCCTTGGGAGTGTTGGTAAACAACACAGAGTGGGCCGTAAGTATTAACAATAAACACACTGAGATATCACTTTCCACCTCTCTCATAGCCTTGCAGGTCAAGGACTATGGCCAGGGAAGGCTTGAGAGTAGGCTAAAAAGAACACACCTTCAGTTCATTTGTCTCCTGGGGAGCCGTCCTCCTGGAAGGCTGTCAGCCAGGTCATTCCTGCTGTGAAGTGAGTTTCCTGAGAGCTTTAAAAACCTTACCCCCTTTCAAATTCAATCCAGAATGACCTGCAGGAGGCTGTGCAGTCTCTGGTGTGGGTGTTAAAATATCAAGAGAGGGAACCCATGCCCCAATGGGTGACTGAGTTAACCACATGTAGGATGGCCATTCCATGGAATGCCCCTCCCCAATACAAAAGGATGGACCAGATACAGGCTGTAAATTGGATGGAACTGAAAAACATTATGCTGAGTTAAAGAGATCAGACAATAAGTTAAAGACCTCATGATTCCATTCATAGAAATTACTCCATTTATATGAAACTAGAGGCCCAGTACACAAAATTTGTGCATGGGGGAGAGGGGTCTACTCAGCCTGGCCTGCGCCCGCTCGCAGTCCAGGACCCCTTGGGGGATGTCTGATTACTAGCTTAGGCCCGCTCCCCACTCCCGCCACCACTGCTGTGCTCAGCAGCTGTAAGCCCAGTTTCTGGCTGAGCAGCACTCCCCCTGTGGGAGTGCATTGACCACCATGGGGCAGCTCCTGCATTGAGCATCTGCCCCCTGGTGGTCAGTGTGCATCAAAGCAACTGGTTGTTCTGGTCATTCTGCCATAAGGGTCACTTAGGCTTTTATTATATAGATGTCTAGAATAGGCAAATCTATAGACAGAAAACAGATCAATGGTTGCCTATGGCTGGGAGTCAGGACAGTATTGACTGAAAACCAGCCCAGGGTTCTTTCTGGGGGTGATGAAACTATTCTAACATTGGATTGTGGTGCTCTCTGTACAACTGTACATTTGCTAAAAGTCGTCAACATGCACACCTGTAGCTCAATAAAGCTGTCAGTACAAAAAAGAGAGAGAAGGAACCCAGACAATAGAGTGGGCAGCCAGGGGTAGCAAGAGCAGAAAACCAGCGTGTTGGTGGGAATGGGAGACTGACGGGTTGGAGACAGTGGGACAGAGAGGGCAGAGGAAGCACAGGACACAGGCCTATGGGGGATTCTAAGAGAAATCCGACAGGAATACTGAATTCAAGTTGCTTACTGTCTAATGGAGAGATGAAGAGTGTATACATACATCAGTGTAGATAGGTAGAGGGAAGTAAATGCCACATGAGGTGTGGATAAAATCCTCTGAGAGCTCAGAGGAAGGAGGAAGTCCACCAGGCTGGGGAGGTGGGGAGCGTTTCTCAGGGCAGGTGGTATTTAAGTTGGTGTTGAAAAAAGAAAAGGACTCAAAGGTGTGGGGATGGAGGGCAGTGAGGAGAGGGCATTCTCAGTAGAGGAACTGAAGTGAGGGATGTGTCAGAGCAAGTCAGGGCCCCTCTGGCTCGGGTGTGAGAGGTATGGAAGGAGGTAGAGATGGTGAGAGGCACATGTGTATCACACACCTTCAGTGTCTTCTCCGAGTCTTGGCAAGATTACAGCTCTAGTTCCCCAGATCTCCATGGAGCACATGGTCCATAGTTGAGTTCCTGGCCTGAGCCTAGCTGTCTCAGGACACAGTAGGCAGAGCTGCCTGATGCTCCTACACAACTGTGGGTAAGGGGCCCACAGCCACCTTCCCTGAGTCTCCCCTTTCTGATTAGATCATCTCCTAATCTGACATCCATAGGCCAAGGGCCACGCTGGGCACTGATTTCAATGCTGAGCTGCATCATGGGTGTGCCATCCCGATGGGCCTGGGGTGCCTGAGCCAGTAAATGATATATGTGTGCCCATCAAGCATGGGGGGAGGGGGGGACAAAAACTCCCATTTTCCCCTAAATGGGCCCTTCTGGAGAAACTGAACATCTCCCCTCCTCTCTGCTTTATTATCGAGAGATTAGAGCTGCAAAGTTCTCAACCAGCCACTGGAACTCAGCATGGACAACATGATGCAGGCCGGGGCCGGGATGGTTTCTAAATAGAAGAGTTTCTAAGTGCTTTGTAAGGCAACGGCGATGACAGCTGCTGTTTAAAAGAGTTTGATTGACACTTGGAATTGCACATATTTTGAGTCAGGAACACTCACAACAATCAGGGAAGACTCAATCAGATGTCGAATCAGCTGTAAACATGCGATGCTGCTTCTGTCTACCTAGGAAGCCAACCCATCCCTACAGGCTCCAGATTCCAGAGGCTATAGGGAAGGGGCAGGTGGGGGAACGGGTGTGGGAAGGGCAGGGGTGAAGCAGAGGCAGTTGGGGAATGGGGTCTGGGGATGGTAGGTGATGGGGCAGGAAGAAGACAGCAGAACCATCTAGGAGTTTCTTTTCTGTGGGGGCCACTGGCCAAGAGGTGGCCACTGGGGCCACCAGATTCAGGCTACTCTACTTTGCATGGTAGCTGGTTGTGGGTCTTTACCTGAACCTCAGGTGAAGAAGAGAGTGCCCCTGGCTCTGCTCAGCCTCTCCCTGATGGAGGTGGGTGAGGCTTCCTCAAGGCTCTCACAGTCGTCCTGGCCCAACCACTCTTTTCTGTTGACCCCACTCCCACCCCAATGCAGATACCAGGCTACTCTCCAGAGTGGGCCATGGCCTCAGGCCTCAGTTCTGGCACATGCCCCGGGGACTCCTCTGGGATGAAGAGGAAGTTCTAGCATGCACTAGGCGGAGTGCTCCGGGTCCGAGGGCAAGTTCTAGCAGGTTCCAGGTGAGCTGCTCTGGGTTTGAGGGAAAGCCAGGTCCATTCCTGTCAGGATCGCAGGGGCCAGGTGGTGTAATGAACATACAGGTTACTCTGCTGCCCTTTCCCCAAAGCCTTAGCTGTGTGTAGGGGAAGGGAGCCGAGCCCCCATGGCCAGAAAAGCCATGCCCTCCCTCTCCATGGGCAGCTGGGCAGGGAGAAGGGAAGAGGCAGCTCTTTGGGCTCCTCCAGCTCCCTCACTGATCTGTGCTTCTTAAGATGGTGGCAGCTGAGCGCCCTCTTTCTAGCCCTCAGCATTGCAGATTTCACTCCCTGCCCTTCAATGGCTCACAACTGCTCAACTCTTTTGTTTCTCCAAAGAAGGCACTTTTAATTGAATGGGCTGTTGTTGCTTTTTCTCTTTTTTTCCAACTGCTGGAGTTTGGAACTTGTTGCTAAAACAGATCTGGCTGGAGATCCTGGTTGGAGCCTAGCTTTTCATAAAGAATGCGGCCCTGGCTCCTGGCTGCTCAGCTTTACAAAGTGGCCTGTTGAAAGTTGGCTCCAGGGGATTCTAGAAGGTGGCCATCAGGGCAGTGGGCGAGGCTAAGAGGGGTGGCCTTGGAATTGGGCGTCTCCCAGATTCCAGGCGGATCTCTGTTTAGAAAGTGCTGATGCTGCTCATGCACAGCTTGAAAAACGCTCCATCTAGTTTAGATCACAGACCACTAATGGACAGTGAATGTAACGCCTTATTTGCCACCCTGCCAGCCTTAGGGGCTGACAAAGCTAATTAAGTTCACTTCATGATTTTAAGCAGCTGACGAAAAGGTGTGTCTGAATGTGGACTGAGGGAATAGGAATTATTTGGAGAGAGGACAAGACCGAATGGCTGGACTGGGTAAAAGGCGTTTGACAGATGGGCCGCATGTCTCAGATTCCTCTGTCAACCACCAGTGGGCTCAGAAGGAGGGAGTACCCAGCACCCCTCTTGCAGCTGAGGCTCGGCTGGGCTCTGGCTGCCTGGAGAGAGCTGGCACATTCTGCTGAGGAAAACCACCTTCTCCGATGGCTCACTGCACAGTTGATTTGCTCGGTAAAGTATTCTAAAATGGACCGTCACAAAGCTTGGGTCGCAGTATGCATTTCTATTAGAACAATGGATGTGATGAAAAAGCCCTGCTGAGTTCGCCCTATTGTCTGTGTAAATGACTTCAGTGACCATCAAAAAGGGGGGGCTGATGGCCAGCTTGGGGTTCCTGAGACCAGCACTGGCTGGGACCTAATGAACACACTGGGCTCATGAGAATCACCTTGTTCATGGCCAGGTGGTCCTAATGGACACACAGTGGAGCCCTGACTCGAGGAGTCTTTGGCTTCTGCCCAGTGGTGGGGCGGCTGGACATTCAAGGATCTCTCCCGCTCTCAGAAGTAATTAACCATCTCCTGACTTGGTTTCCCCTCTGGGCTTAATGACACCAAGAGCAGTGAGAATGTGTCAAGTGCCCTGAGGAAAGAGAAGGAACGTACTTGGTGGGGGAGGGATGTTCTGAAGCTAGTCAGGGGTGGGCAAACTTTTTGACTCAAGGGCCACAATGGGTTCTTAAACTGGACCGGAGAGCCGGAACAAAAGCATGGATG